GAAGCTCCGTCCATGGGGTAATAAACCCCACCCACAAAAACAGGAAGCTCCGTCCATGGGGTAATAAACCCCACCCACCAAGATAGGAAGCTCCGTCCATGGGGTAATAAACCCCACCCACCAAGATAGGAAGCTCCGTCCATGGGGTAATAAACCCCACCCACCAAGACAGGAAGCTCTGTCCATGGGGTAATAAACCCCACCCACCGAAATAGGGAGCTCCACCCATGAGGTAGTAAACCCCACCCACCAAAATAGGAAGCTCCACCCATAATGTAGTAAACCCCACCCACCAAAATAGGAAGCACCGCCCATGATGTAGTAAACCCCACCCACCAAAATATGAAGCTCCGACCCATGATGTAGTAAACCCCACCCACCAAAATAGGAAGCTCCACCCATTATGTAGTAAACCCCACCCACCTAAATAGGAAGCGCCGCCCGTGATGTAGTAAACCCCACCCACCGAAATAGGAAGCTCCGCCCATGAGGTAGTAAACCCCACCCACCAAAATAGGAAGCTCCGCCCATTATGTAGTAAACCCACCCACCTAAATAGAAAGCTCCGCCCATGATGTAGTAAACCCCACCCACCAAAACAGGAAGCTTTGCCCATAGTGTAACAAACTCCACGCACCGAATTAGGAAGCTCCATCTATGGATTAATAAACCCCCACCTGCCGAAATAGGAAGCTCTGCCCATAGGGTAATAAACCACACCCACCAAAATAGGAAGCTCCAGCCAGAGATTCTCACCTCGGGGCCGGTGCTGTTCTCCGGGGGCCTGTTCAGATCGGAGCGTTGCTGACGCTGCTTGCTGGGCTGCTCTGTGCCGCTAGCCACCTGTGAAGCAGCAAAGACAGGTGAGATGATCCGCTGAGCATTGGGGATGGAGATGACCTCCATGGGGCTGGGTGAAGGTTGCAGCACACAGCTGCTCCATGACAGCAGCCATACTGGGAGATTTTATATATATGGTGTCTTTTTAATACTATATACATAAATCTACCAGAATATGTCAGGCATTGCATATGGCTAATTTCTTAATTTTATTACTGCGGTAAGTGTTGAGTACGGGGTTGGAGGTATGAATTTGGCCTTCGTACGTGTGGAGGAGTGTCCCATTATGCCCTGTCTTTTTCGGGTGTGCTCTGTGACCCTGACTCGCTGGTGGATGCATGGATTTGCATTAAGTACTTATACCTGATGAAGCTACACAATGGTAGTAATTCACTTTAATGGTCACTTAAGGGCTTCAGGTTTTGGGCAATCCAGGTCCTTAACCATGACATCACCTGCCGATCTGAGATTAGCCAAAACAGCATTAAGAGAGGTGAGCACATCATCAGTCATTTTTCATGGAAGTCTTGTTCTTGTTTGATCAGCTACTGATCATTCAGAACTGACTACCAGCCACAGAAACATCCTGTCACATGGAAAAAATTTACATGAAACAGACGTGCATGGGGTTGGGGGGGGGCTGGTAAAAACACCGAATACAGTTAGTCCCCAGGTTACGAACACCCGACTTACGGAAAACTTGTATTTACAAACGGACTGCCATAAAGCCTTTTATATTAAAAATGGTTCATCAGCTCGAGGTTCACTGCAACTGCAGTTCCGCATTTAGTTACTTTTATCATTTCTGTATTATCATTATTGCACATTATCTCGCATTATTATTTTTATTATTATTATTTTCCAACTTACCTTCAAATTCGGCTTGAAGACTGACTTAGTGAATGGATCTCGTTCATAACCTGGGGGTGGCCTGTACTGTGGTATAATGTCTGGACAGTATGTCCTATAAGGTATTAAAAATTAGATGGCGATCTGTCAAGCGAGCAGGTAAGGGGACCCTGCAGTAAAATGTGCCAACCAGTTGGGGGGGGGGGGTTGTTCTGAATAGCAGAACAGCAGATTTCCGGGACATTGTGCATCATTCATAGGTGTCAGGGAGCTGCTGTCAGTTTGCGTGATAATCCTGGAATGTCGGCGTGACAGATATGGATTTCTGTGATTATGCAGCCTAGCGGTTATTTCCAAAAATGTGTAGCGGGCCGGACCACATGCACTGCTGACGCTGGTCAAATGACGGACCAGGGCCGCAGTTTGAGGAAGCCACCTATAAGCAGTTACATTCTACAGAGAACACTCTTGTATCATTCTCTCAGAAAGATATTTCCCAGACACATGTGCACAGCACACAAGAGATGCTGGCTGGCGGAAAATGACTGCCACTACAAGGCCGTTAATTATCATTACGGGCAACTGTAATCACACCGGCCTAAACACTGAGCTCACCAAACACAGGCAGCCGGTTAACGACGTAACTAGACGCATTGATCTCTTATCTCGCTAAGAGCCATCCAAGGACACAGACTGGGCTAATACCTGTGTGCCACTGAGTACCTCAGGCTATGTCCACACTAATGCGTTAAAAATTTTTTACGGGGGTTTCCGAAGAAAAAGATCTACATCCACACTACCGTTATCACTAGCACTGAAAAAAACATTTGCATCCAAACTGCACCATGTAAAAGGTAAATGTCAAAGCTTATGACGCATATTAGTCTATATTTGGCATATGCACTTACCAAATTTACATTTTGTTTGTTGTAGCGCAAGCACAATGTGCCATTTCCCAGCTCTTTGTCCAACCAAATTCTTTTTCTAACTGTAGAAGTGGCAAAGTATACATTTTAATTAATTAATTTCGACTTTGATTTGTAATAAAGTTCAGTTTGACTGTTGATTACTCTCATACGCAACCATGTGTTTAAATGCACATAGGTTATTTAACAAAAGCAAAATATCACAATACCATAGTGTTGCAAACAAAGTTGTACATAAAAGGGACTCTATAGGCAATCAAAATCACAGCAACACAGTTATCAGTAAAATACATCATGGATCCAGAAATTTAGTCACTGCATGTCTCACTCTCTTCCCCAGTCTCACTGCATTCTTGTCTCTCAAATTTTTCTGCAATAAGCAGCGATCGGTAAATTCTTAATTTTCTTTGCTCGTAAACAGTATACATAACACAATTTAGCTGCATACCAGTAAGCAAAAGAACATTTGCCAGGTAGCGAAGGTTCTGTATGTCCTGTCCTCCATGTGAAAACTAACGAAAAACATTCTTCATTCCTGTGAAGAATAACTAATCAGGAAGAGAGACATAGAAACAAAGACAGCTAATCGGGAAAAGGTCATGAGCTAACCACAAACTAATCGCAGTTCACTGATGTAGGCATAACAAAATGTTTATGTTTATGAGCTTCCATACTGATGCATTTACAGAAAACTTAGTTGTCAGACAGCACTGAAAATTCTCTCTGCTTCTGGGAAAAAAAGATCGGCGGTAGTAAACTGGAAGGAAGTTTTTACATCACTAAATGAAAACGTGTTAGTGCTCATAAAGATACCGCAGACAATGTAAAGTAGTTCTGAGACTGCTTGCATTCATCACCTGATGGGAATAATTACTGGAGTAGTCACATCTGACAAGACAAAATTACCGGAAGAATCATCGTGAGCTACCACAGCAAGAATGGTTCACCAGGGGCACAGGAAGCCCACACAGTGATACCAAACAGTGCACGTTACAGGGACGGGTACCAAGGAGCCAGAATTCACTCTGCCCAACAGCCGGGACACGCAGCCACCAGGAGCCTTGCAATCCCCTCCCTCCCGGCCCCCGCTAGTCAGCTGACAGCCGTGCAAAAGCAGCTTATGCCTCCCTCCTTAATGGACAGTGGGTGGCTTTGATGTGGTCTGCATCAAGACACTGTGCTAACCAGGCAGGCTCTGGCCTGTTCCGACCTCTAATCAAATAAACCTGCCAGAAATACTGACTGCACATCCGTCATAAACAAAACATTCACATTTTATTGATTTAATTTCAGGGTGACCTGGTGGTATGGAGGCTAGCACTATTGCCTTACGCCTCTCCGTCCCGGGTTTGAGTCTCTGCTATGGTCCCATGTGTGTGGAGTTTGCATGTTTTCCCTGTGTCATCACGAGATGCTCTCTGGGTACTCTGGTCCCCCCCTCCACAGTCCAAAAATATGCTAAGGTGAATTGGAGATTGCCTGCAGGTGCACCTGTGTGACTGAATGGTGTGTGAATGCACCCTGTGATGGGTTGGTGTCCCATCCTGGGTTGTTCTCTGCTTTGTGCCCATAGGCTCAGGACCCCCCCCACCACCCTGAATAGGACAAGCGGGTATAGAAGGAGGATGGATGGAAATATATCATACTATTTACCTAGTATTTTTTAAAGACCCTTGACTCCCTACTGTTGAAATGGCCAATAGGTCCGTTCATCAGCATCTGGTCTTACTAGATACTGGAGGATCCATATTGTACATTTCAGCTCTGAATTTGGCAGAGTTACCAAGGGATTCGGCAGACTATCCCAGCTAAACGTAGATGCTCCATCTATTGGTGGGTCTGTAACTTCCTGATGAATTGAAGGCCTTAAGAATGGTTGGGCCTGTCACCTTCTGGACTGTCTTGGTATCACTTGCATTGTTCCACCAGACTGCATGCTCTTGCTCAGACTTCACTCCCTGCACACTAATCACTCATCATCACTCATTATGTATAGCATAAAAAAAACACCATCTGTCAAAGAGTTTTCATTTCCTCCAAACCCCATACAGTAATACTCTGCTGTCAGTGCCTCCCTGAAATCTCTTCAGTTGGAGGAGGAAGCAGCTCCGAAAAACTTTACTGCAACTTAAGTGCGTAAACACAGATCTGCACTCACCGCCCTATGCTGGCTACCACATCCCCAGCATAATATGAAATACTACCTGTCACCTTCATGGCTTTAAACAGCACTGCACCAGAGCATTCTCCCGATTTATCAAATAGTACACCTCTTCAAGTCCATGATTCACATACACTCTCCACATTTAAGTAATTTTTTAGCGCCTGGTGCTGAATGGCAAGGGGGGTACCGGCACTTGGTGCTGAATAACAAAGGGAGTACCAATACCTGGTTCTGAAAAACAAGGGGAGTACAGCATCTGTTTTTACCCACTACAAGCACTAATTAGACTTTATTTTAGCCACTTCCATACAACCCACCTACTTACCAACAGGATATTTCGATCCTGTTGGTTTTTAAATGCATTTTGGGTGATTGGATCACAAGTGGACAGCTGAGATACATTGCCGTTTAGACCTGGGCCTATCATGGGTCTTCAAGGTGCTCGGCTAATGACGTGTTTAGATTTTGTCACTGAATATGTTGCTTTGGCTAGAACAGTGTTTCTCAACCCAGTCCTCAGCGAACGCCAGCCAGTCCAGGTTTTTGCTCCCTCCCAGCGCACCTGTGCCAGCTATTCGGTGTTCCTGATTGGCTGGGAGCTGGGAGGGAGCAAAAACGTGGACTGGCTGGGGTTCGCTGAGAACTGGGTTGAGAAACACTGGGCTAGAAGGTCAAATAGACCCGCACACAGTTATTATGAACTTCTTGTTTGTGGGGATTTACCAGGTGGTGGAACCCTAAGATCCAGTGAGATGGTGCAGCAGAGAAAAATGACACACCTTAAAATAATTCCCAAATTCATTCAGCCTACGTCCACACTGAGTATTCAATCAAAAACAATCTCCATCCACACAGACATTTTCATATAGTTTACGAAAGTATTACTATAAACACTGAAACTATTACTCTACATTAGGCACGTGTGCATCGACACAGTGATTAGTAAATTGATTTCTTCTTGGGCAAATATGCAGCAGTCATTTGTGTATACAGGTCAGCCACAGGGATAGCAGCTCCACCCTGTCCGCCACGTTGGAATACTGTTTACTTCCATGTAGGGTGACATGGTGGCCAATCCGATGACGAGAGGCATGGGCCATGTGATGAAAAGGGAGCAATTAGGGCGCTTGCAGAGTCTGCATTTTCAAAAGTCTCCACTTTCACTCATCCATATTGCAACTTTTCAAACAGAATTTTCTGAAGTATGCGGCTGTGACAATGTTTACAAAAGTCTCTGCAGTGGGACCAGTGGTGGAGCTAAAATCACCCCCCCCCACCCTGGTCTGACAGCAAGCGCAGACATACTAGGGTAGGAGGGCACTTGTAGGGGATTCCTGACAGTCATCGCCGGCAGTCACACCGCTCACCCCCATGAGAGCTCTGCTTCTCAGCGGGACCTAATGTCACTAACTATGCTAGCTGAAGTGTTGGTAGCTAACAAGACAGAAGCCAAGTTGCACACAAAACATCTTGTGTGTTTCGTGATATTTCTTGAAATTCTGAATTTGAAAGTACCTACCACTTGAGGAAAAAAAGCAACTAATTTTACACTCGCTCTCCTTCTGTAGCAAACTACTACCACAAAGTTTATCCATACAAATGAACCCACCGAAGGGAAGGGATGAGACCGGGACAAGGATGCATGTTGCGTGTGGGGGGCGGGACTGTGGGGTGACTTTACTTTCTGATTGGTTGATGGCATCAGCTGGAACACCAGGCTGCAGCACACAAAAAACAAACCCACTTGACATTTTTATATATGAAACCGCCAATCAGATTTAATTATGTATTAAATGAGGGTGCCGGAATGCTGTTCCAGATCGTTTAACCCTTGCTTATTGGGGATGCATTATGTATTAGCATTTACACTACAAAAGATATGTGGTCAAATGTACCCCAGACCATTTACACGAGTGGTTTGGGTGAATAGATCACAATGTGTCTCGGTGGTCGTTTACATTTGTATTTAGCGCTGTCCACTTGATCCAAGCACCAAAGGTGCATTTTAAAACCGTGTCACCAGGGCCTTTTCCCCTCGTTTCCCCACTTTTAGCCCCTGGCTGCTCAGGGCCGCCTGCTTGAGTACTAACAGATCACCAGCTGCACTCAGGCATCCAATCCATGTGTTGGTCAGACTGAGCGTGGGGTCGTGTGCAGCGGCTTTCTGTCACTCTGTAGCCTTCAGCGAAGCTTTTCCCTTCTACAGCTGCCCTTGTCATTTGTCCCTTTACAGACGCAGTTTCTTAGGGGCACCAGCAAGTGCCCATGGGGGAGGGGACACGTCCAGTCCGCACGTGCCGGTGCCTCCGTGCGGAAAAGCCTCACGTCTCCTAAAAACATCACAGACTTACAGCCCGACTTTGAGCTGACATTGTCCGACTCTTTGTTCTTAAGGTGAGCCATAATGACTATAATCAATCCATCATTTCATTTAGCCCTTAATCACTTAACTGATTTAAATGATTAATGCACTAGCTAGAACAGGGCACACAGTTACTCACAGCATGCTAGGGGACAGCGGCCATCTTTCACTATCGTTCAGCGTCATCTAAGACCATGGTTTGGTCTTCTGTGGAAGTGGCCGGGCCACAGTCTTATAATCGGAAGGATGCCCATACCATTCCAAGATGGATGCTGTTGTACGCTCAAGCAAGTTAGACACCCGAATTACACCAGTTCATGAACAGTAGCACAAATGTAAAATTGTACCACACCATAGAAAGGGTCTGATTATCGGTACAGAAGTGTGAATTTTTTTTATGCAAACTGTGTATCCCTGTGTAATCTGTAAAGAGCAATAGTGTGTAAATATCTTAGATCAGGGGTTTTCAACCTGGGGGTTGTGACCATCTCGGGGTGCACTGAACATTTAATGAGGTCTGGAGAGACATTCCATACATAGATAGAACGGTGGTACACCCAGCCCACCTCCTCACCTGTAGCTGCTCCTGCACCCACTGAAGCCTCTCCTCCGCTGTGCGCCCCTGCACCGTGAAGCCCTCCTGAGCATCAGGGTGGTTCAGCTGAGCAGAAGGGATGTTCAGCGACCGGGGGCGGCCCTCGTGGCAGCGGGGCATGTAAGGGGCGGCCGGCTGCTCAGGAGCACTGCCGCCGTCACTGCCGCTCACGCTCATGCTCATCTTGATGTCAGCCACGATGCGGTCGAGGTGCTTGTCAGGCACCGCTGCCCCCTGGTGGCTGGAGGAATGACCTGTATTCCGGTTCCCTTCTCGACCATGGGGGCTCCATGAGTCTGGCGCCTTCTGTTGGACTTCTTCCTCTTTGCTTGGACAGCACTCAGTCTCCGCCTCTTCCTCCTTGCCCTCCCCTGCATTCCCTGACACTGGATGGGCGTGGGCAACTGCACAATGGTCCCGCGTCACTTTGGGCTGGCTGTTACACCTCGAACCCACAGAATCACGTTCCACCGCCGCAGACTGCCCTCGAGGCTCTGCTCTCTCCTCCACGACCTCCTGGCCTCGTCCCGCGTCAGGGGGGAGCCTCACGTTCCCGCTGCCATAGTCTTCCTCAACACCGTCCACCCCCTGCAGGTACGCGTCATCCTCGGGACAATAGCGGATATAGTATGTTACGCCCTCCTCATCTTCAGGTAGCCCTTCGTCATACTCCTCTTCCTCCGATGTGTTGTTCACATAGTCAGAACTGGAGTCCTCGTCGGCGCTCTCGCCGGGGATATGGAAGTTTGTGTGACTGTGGCCGTGGGGAGCAGCAGGGACAGAAAGCTCCTCCTCAGCGCTGTCGGCCCGAGGCCGCTGAGCTGCATGCGTGTGGCTGGGCGCCGCTGCCTGGCTGCTCTTTCCATCAGGCCCCTTGGTGCCGCAGTAGCGTGAAGATGGCCCCACCCCCCTGCTCTGGGGCCTCTCGTCGGGCCCCTCTGCAGTGAAATGGGCCGGGCGGCTCCGAGCCCTGCTGCTACCACTGGTCCCAGGCCTCTCCCTGTAAGCCATTGCTGGCTGCGCTCACACACACTGCATCGCGGCTTCACCCAGTCCTGCAAAACAGCAGACGATCGGATGAAATTAGTCCCAGCATCACTGCAAACCCAATGAAAGTGGCCAGCACAGATGTACAGAGACTGGCTTCTGTTCTCTGCAGCCATTTAACAATCACAGCCATTGTATGTGGACATCACCCTGAGCAGCAGTTCATAAATAAAACATCAGCATGAACCTTTCTTGAGAAACATGCAAAATATGAATAGTAAAAGTGAAGAAGACAAAAATCTTCATCTGATCAACAATAAAAAACTTTATGCTCCTGTTAGAATTCCTACACGGCGTAGAACTGTGACCAAAGGTCTGTTCTTCTCAGTGTAGCTGTTCCCCTATTTGGAAACTGCTTCTGCAAAGGAAACTCTTAGGAGCCCTGGTACGCCGCCTAACCACAGCACTGCTCACCGAAGCCCTCTGTCCACTCACCATATCGGAAATTTACATCAGCCACCGTAGGCCAACTACCAAAACGCAACGTCCTTCGCATGGTATAATTTGAATTATAAATCAACTGCATAATTAAACAAACATGGAGTTTTAATATATCCTCTTGGACACAATCAACCCAAACCAAAGTAAATCTAGGCGGATGTGTTTAATTTCTGTTTAAATGCATTGTCTGTTTATTCTCGCTGACAGTCCTAGTCTGCCAACACCTTGTGCTCATCAGTCAGCTCAAAGCAAGGCTGAACCTGCAGTGCTGGAACACTAGCATCAAAGAACTTGCCCAGGGGACAGTCACGGTCAGAGGGTGGTGGTGTCCGCTGGGGCCACGCTGCCACTGCACCCAGCCATGAAAGGGGGGCCTCAACTGCACATCCCCCTTGTTCTGCTGGCGAGAGACAGACAGCTAAGCTGTTTGCGGGAGATTTATGGCTCCGTCAGCGGTGAGAGCGCCTGGCTGAGAGAAGGATGTCAGCAGCTGTTGACCTTGGAAGCTCACCACAGATCCAGTGAGGGGAAACTCACGCCGCTGAGAGTGACATGTCATGCCCTTGTGTTTCAGTGTCTGTGATGGGACGCACACATCCAAAGCGGTCAAAAACAAAACCGAAACCAAACGAAACAGAAACCAAAACAATCTTCACCAAAAAAAAACTGCCCTCTAAAGAGATTCCCCAGGTCCAGGATGTTTGTCCTCTACCAGTGACTGAGGATTTAGTCCAGGGACTGAAACATAGAGCTGGGTTAAAGAAGACAGCTGAGCTCTCATGGCACATGTTTGGTGTCTGTGGAAGAGCTGCAGAATGAGCTAACTGACTGACTTCAGAGCGTGTGGGGGCACTGTACCCTGTGAGAGAGGGAGTGCACCAAAGTCAAAGGCAGGAATAAATATCCTGCTTAAAAGTCCCCTGGAAAACAGTAAGAATTCCCTTGGTGAGCAGAGACCGTTGTGATAGCTAAACGAGTGCAAATGATAACAGATAACACTGTGATGCATACAAGAGGGGACCCGACACAGCCAGCGACCAAAGCCGACTCACGAGGGAGACCTAAGAGGGGACCCGACACAGCCAGCGACCAAAGCCGACTAACGAGGGAGACCTAAGAGGGGACCCGACACAGCCAGCGACCAAAGCCGACTAACGAGGGAGACCTAAGAGGGGACCCGACACAGCCAGCGACCAAAGCCGACTAACGAGGGAGACTTATTCCTGTCAGAAGCCCAGTAGCCCAGACAGCAATGCAGCCTTGATTGACGCCTCTCACAAAAACAGAGGGGTTAAAAGGGGTCATGCCAGACAGATGGATCAGGCAAAGGCTAACAGCAGTAGAGATTCTCTAGGGGACCACCGGTTCAGAGACGGGAAGTTGGTTAGCAAATCTGATTGTTCTGTGACAGAAAATAGCTATGTGGTTTTTACTTTGGGTATTTGAAAGCAGAGCCACCACATAACAGACAGCTCCTGAGCTGAAACTGTTAATCAAAGCAAATGTCTAAGCAGTTCAGGGGACTTTGCTTACAAAATGTTAACAATATGTGTGAAGTCAACAAAACAGCAACAGAATAGTAATTAAGTGGCAGGTAACTGTGGTGAGTCACTCCAGAATATGAAACTTGGGCTGGCATCCTCTAACATCTGCTGTAGATCAGCTGGAAACACAAGCTTCCCAGTGCTTCTAAACCTCCATTAATTAATGGATTAATTTACTGGGTTTCAGAAAATGTTTAGTCTCAAATGTTTTAATGTTTGGCTCATTTATCTTCATGAGATATTCTACAGTTACCACTCCGTGTGACTTATAAATGAAAACAGTTAATAGTTCAAATGTGTTTTGTGATTCTGAATTACAGTACAATTTGAATAGTAGTTAATTCCTTTATGGAGGTGGTCTGTCTCAATACTTTGGTGCAACAAAAAAAAAACCAAAGAAAAGGAAAAAAGACACTTTTGAAATGAATATGAGGAGCTTGCAAGCGACCAGCAGCTGGTGAGTGCAGCTTATGGACCATGAGAAACCCTTTAAATCATATCTAAAGGGGACAGGTGTGTTTGACCTTTGCCTAGGAGATGGACAGCTACACACAACAGAATAATTGCTTCTGAGATTTTTACCATTTTTACTATAATTACTCCAGTAACACTCAAATTGGTTTTGAATTGAATTAATTAGTTCTTCAGCAATTTCATTTTTTAACACTTTATAAATATTCAGTATGAATTTTGACTGAAGAGCCACTATTCTTTGTTGTTAACATGCTTTTCATTTTGCCACTACAGGTGTGATTATGGACTCATTCAGATATAAAGAAATCTATGGTTTGACTACAGCGTTAATAATAACAATGTGTCTTTGTTCCTTCCACTATTTTCCACCATTCTTACTCAAGAAATGCAAAGTTCATGCAACACTAAATGAGAGCAATGAGCTACTTTCCTTGGTGTTTGTGACGTGATCTGTATCAAGAGAAACATTCATTCATTCAGCAGCCCAGGTAAAGATACTGAAGAGCTCGGCTGAAGTGAAGAAGCATGCAGAAAACTGGTCAGTAGATAGAAATTAAACGCACAGCTCAAAATTAAACACACAACTCAAAACTATACAAGATTTCAGGCACGCACCACACACGCACACGCACCACACACGCACACGCACCGCACACGCACCACACACGCACACGCACCACACACTTATGATCAAGCTTATAAGAACTCTGAAGGCACACATGGGACGCTGATGGCAGTGAAGATCGGTCATGTCACCACACTCTGTTGCCCTGTTTCGCTCTCTTGTACAGAACACACACACACCCGCTTCATCCAGGCTGTGCAGTACCAGAAGATCACCAAACAGCAGAAATGACTGCCTCTGTACAGAACAGAAACTCCAGATGGCCTGAGAGATACACATACCCATAAAGAAAGAAAAGCAAATGGCCTCCTCCCCCACAAATTCAGTTTATAGAGAGAAAGAATTATATTTGCTCTTTCCAAATGGCTTCTTCTCGATAACCGAGCACCCAAACCTCACACAAGTCAGAATATAGCGCCATCAACACAATGACCCGGGTTTCAAGACCAACTGGACTGAGCATCATTCTATAACACTGGGGGGGGGGCAGACATGGCTGGAAGGAGGAGCCTGAGCGAAAGATAGCGAGACGGAATAAAACTAAAACAACAGGGAGGGTGAAGGCGGACTGAAAGGCGGCAGAGTGCAGTCCGACATGCCTGGGGGGGGCGGAGCCAATAAGCTTGCCATCATGGTCATCATTAGGTCCAATAGCCCCGAGTATTTTGAGCCTAACCCCCGACTGTTTTACCCCAGATGCCAGTCTTTCTTCAAAAAGCCCCATGAAAACTTCACTAGGTCCCTTATTTTTTTCCAATAGCTAGAGACCTTCCTGCTCGCCATCTACTAATATTTCCATCGTCCCCCCACTTTATCATCATGTACAGCAGAAAGCATTTGCCGAAGGGAGATGGGTGAGAGGAACCACCGGGGAAAAAAACGCACACATGGTAAACCTCCAGAATGGATTCCATTGTAAAATCCACTCTGTGCCCTTTCAGACTCCGAGTTCCCCTCCGGCGCGTGTCACACATCACGGTCACCCCATGCATCCCGCTCACTGCAGTACCTGCCGGCCCCCATGCACAGCTGGAGTTCTGACCTTTCTCTCAGCACTTCCTCACCTCGTACCTTCTGGTCATCAGTACAATCAGTCAACCGACACACAGTATTTTGGGGCAGGACTCCCACCTGCAGGGAACACATTCCTCCAGTCACTCACATCTCCCAGAAGCCCACAGTACAGATCAGACCTCACTTGATGCATCCGGAGATGGTCTCTTAGCGGGCAGAGCATGCCGGCCTCTGCACTGCACCACATGCCCGTCTCTGTATGAACCGATGGGAAGGATGACGAAAGAGATATACAAAGGTTTCAGATGCATTCCGATAATTTTACATTTCTAGTCAGACCAAAATGCCAAGAATATTGGGAATAATGGAAGATGACCAGCGCCACAGAGCCGGGAATAACGGGAGATACACAGCGCCACAGAGCCGGGAATAACGGAAGATACACAGCGCCACCGAGCCGGGAATAACGGGAGATGCCCAGCGCCACCGAGCCGGGATTAACGGGAGATACACAGCGCCACAGAGACGGGATTAACGGGAGATACACAGCGCCACAGAGACGGGAATAACGGGAGATGCCCAGCGCTACAGAGACGGGAATAACGGGAGATGCCCAACGCCACCGAGCCGGGAATAACGGGAGATACACAGCGCCACCGAGCCGGGAATAACGGGAGATACACAGCGCCACCGAGCCGGGAATAACGGGAGATGCCCAGCGCCACAGAGCCGGGAATAACGGGAGATACACAGCGCCACAGTGACGGGATTAACGGGAGATACACAGCGCCACAGAGACGGGAATAACGGGAGATGCCCGACGCCACAGAGACGGGAATAACGGGAGATGCCCGACGCCACAGAGCCGGGAATAACGGGAGATGCCCAGCGCCACAGAGCCGGGAATAAC